GTGGGGTACCTGATGTCTGACAGGAGGCTCACCCTCTCCTCCTGCTGCGTGAGGGGGGGTGGGTGGGGTACCTGATGTCTGACAGGAGGCTCACCCTCTCCAATTCAATTTTCAAATGACGAATTTTGAATTTTTGAAAAGTCGAATTTAATTTTTTCCCAATTTTCAACCATAGCACCAGTAGGACCTAATCAAAACTGGCCCGGCGCCCCGGACACACGATCGTCGATCATCCATGTCAAATGAGCATGGGCCGTTCTAAAAGTAGCAAATGTTATCGATCGGTGTGGGGACATTCTAAAACGCTTAATGTGAAAACGCTTAATGTGGTTTAATGTACCAAAATAGCGACCAATAATCACTATATTTCTCACACATATATCTGGTCATAAACACTTTCACCTTAATGTAAAATAAAGTCTATATTCCTTGTATTTCAGTTTAGATTTTTTGTCAGGTGAAAGTGTTTATGACCAGATATATGTGTGAGAAATTTGGTGATTTTTGGTGGCTGTCTTGGTACTTTAAGTTACATTAAGCCTTTTCCTTATAATGGGCGTCAATGGAGGGGAAAACGCTTAACGTAAAATGAAGTCCATATTCCTTGTATTTCGGTTTTGATTTTTTTGTCAGGTGAAAGTTTTTATGACGACCAGATGTGTGTGTGCGAAATTTGGTTATTATTGGTCGCTATTTTGGTACATTAAACCACATTAAGCGCTTTCACATTAAGCGTTTTAGAATGTCCCTCTCAAAGGTACTATGAAACACCGGGAAAGTATTAGCTTACCTTATATATATAGTAATTAGAACATTATTTCCGAAATGCGTACTATACATCATGTTTTCAGCACGCCAGCACGCAAATTTTTACACAGTATTCTCCCAACCTTATCAAGTAGACTCGTGACTCGCCCATGCCGTTAGTTGACCAATCACAGTGTATATTCAGTGAGTTTAATGATTAATTTATTAAGAAGCAGCGAGAGAGTGACTAAAAAACGGATGCTGAAAAAAAGTGAAGAATTTGATTAATAGAAGCAAAAATACAAAGAAAAGTGAAGAATTGAAATCAAACTCCAGGGGGAACCCTGATGTTATCAAGAAGACGGAGTCCTATCCGCTGATCAGTACTGGCGGGCCAACCGGAATGCGGCTTCAGCGATCGCTGAGGCAAAATGTGACCAAATGATAGTCTGGAACCCTGTGGAACCACACTTGACTTCTTGGGCATTTACACTATATGACACAAAAAGCAACAGCACACACACACACAAGCCAGTTCACAAAGCTGTCTCTGGGCATATTTTCCTTCTGGCCTTTATGACGCGTTTGTGTAACATTTCATTAGACCGCCAGTAACCTTAGATCTTCACACAAGTACCTCACAGATGTTGAGATTTACTGTTTGGGTATCAGAACTGGGTACCAAAAGATAATTTTCCCATCCTCAGAGCATTTTGGTTGGTACCACAAAAGTACCAATGTTCGGTACCCAGCTGAAGTGTATATTGACACTTCCATGTTTCACCCTCACCAATGAGGGGAAGCAGTTAAAAAGGCAAACAGGATGCTGAGAGGAGAGGAGCCGAGCTGGGGTGGGCATACTTA